GTACTACTGCCGACTTCGAGGAATCGGCTCAAACTTCAAATTGACTGAAGGATCATCTACCTGCATGTGACTGCTTGTTTGAACAAAAGTGGCAATAACACGAGCCTACTGTGAGAATGCTGATGGTCCGGAACAGTCATGAAAACGAGCTCGATTAAGAAACAGAAACAAACCAGTTGGAACGCCAGCAGGTAGTTGCAAGGTTACTCATGCAGCTAGGGTCGAACTTCACCTGGCACTAAAGTTGGCAGCTGACGATCTTCTATCTATCGATGTGACGAAGTTGGCGCGGACCCTATAAATACCCTCACATGCGTCCATCATGATGCTGCATTTGCTCACACCGAACTCTGCGTAGCGAACAACACGCTCAGGAGCACTGTCATGTTTCCGAGTCGTCGGACAAGTTTCAAGGGGCTCTAATCGTCCCCCTGCTGCTGTCACGCGGTTCAATACAGTTTTGGCGGTAATACATACCGATCTACTGGCACTCTGGCCAAAGTCTCAATCCAATTATCTCCGTTTTATCACCGCGATGATATTTGTTGAGTCTTGTGGCTTACATGCTGGCAGTCTTCGCTATTCGGATCGCTACCGCTCTCTGAGAGCCGCGAAGCTTTATATTAGAATGTAAACTGCAACTTCACAATGGTCAAAATTGATTTTTTATTACTATCCTGCAGACAGATCACCGCCGACGAGAGTGTCCGCCATTCACCGGACGATTGATCGTTTGTCCTCCTGAGCACGCCGGCGACAGCTGGCACTGTGGCGCATGTGTCGACTCCAGCTCGAACACTACCAAAGTTGTAGTATCCTCTCTTCGTTGGGGCACCTTCCATCGATAAGACGTAGATTTTCGATCACCACAAAGAACTAATTGGTACTGATGCATATTTGCAGAAACGGACATACGGCTCTGGAAGATTGCATGCGATCCGACCTATCAGTCTTGCACTACTCGAGATGGGCACCCGCTCCTTTGTATGCGGCTGATTCTATAGTAAATGGGACCAGGGAATCGGCACCACACTCGCGGTCTCAGTTGCGGGGAAAGAACTCGAGGGGGGCAGGTATGGCGTGACGCGCGGGAAGAAGCCACACGAGGGTGGAACGGATGGGATGGAAGCTATCGGGGATATCTTCTTCAGTCAAGTCAAGTACATTCGGATAAAGATGGATATCGATGCCGTATTACTGTCACCGACACGGGCGAGAAATGGTCAAATGCAACAAGTTGAGCGAGAGGAGTGTGGTTCGATGGACAGCTTCTATCAAACTGCGATGAAGCGGACGGCTACAATGTAAAAGTAGACAATCGCAATACCTGGCCGAACGGCACAAGTTATCTATTTTTTGTATCGGAAAATTTCTCAAGCTTCGACACGCAATTTCAAGTTTTCATTCTCGGTCCATGCTTGATCCTTGGTGTCTCCACTTGTGTATGTCCCTTCGCCTTCAAACACTAAGGTCGAAGAAGCAATGCTTGCGTATCACGTGCGACGACAGCCGGAAGTCGCGCTGCAATCCTTATCGACCCTGCACGTCCTGCGCCGAACAGTTCGTTGTTCTCGTCAATCGATAATGCTCGTCCTCGTCAAAAGGACAATAGTAGATTCCGATCCTGAGAACAGTTGAATACCTCCGATTCCATATCAAGATGGTGTGGTCATCGATGCATGCTTCAATTGGGTGATGCAAGCTTACTTGTGTGAAATCGAGCTTGGACCGCGTGGTACAACAATGTGCTTCTTCTGCGGTTGACAAAAGAATTACAACCTCGTGATAGTGGAAGACGGATAAAGTTTATGATCCGAGAGTTTCAAATTAAGTATGTGGTTACTGGTTCGATAGCATATACAGAGACGTCATCGCCACCTAGCGCGCGGTATAAAAGCGCCACCAGCGCAGTGAGCAGCATCGTTGCATCATCCCCCGTTTCTGGCTTTCGTACCTCAGCCTCGGTTTTATTTTTATTTTATTCCGAATTCTCCCGCCAACTTTGCATGTCCGGGAAAACAGCCTCGTGCCTTTCTATCCACGCTACTTTGCTATGCAACATAGACCGTCCCGCTGCGTGGCTCACTCGAGCACAAAGCACCGGCCTTTGTTCATAGCCAAAATAGTTGGATAGAATGGTGGTGTCGCTTGCCTGGCCATTTGCTAAGTTGCCGACGTTTCTATTACTTATGTCACTGTTCTGGTTCTTCGTACGAGGGATCCACATATCTGCGTGGGCGCCGGGCAACTTTTCCATTAATTTATCTTCTCTGGCTCTTTATCTCCTATGCTGGATTTGATACCGCCACCGCGCTTGTGTCGATCACCGATGACAAGGCCCGCCGAAGAACTGTGGTATTACCATTAGTTGAGGGTGCCAGTGTATCCATATTTGTAGTATCTCACGATGAACTTGAGATTACGTGTACGGTACATAATAGATGCTTTTTTTCGCCATAGACGACATAGTTTATAGATCGAAAGCTGTGGAGGTCTACAATCACTGTCACTCCATATACAGCACCAGGGCGAGGTGATTGCGCCGTAGGCATACTCCCCACCTGATTGTTTTACAGGTACCACGCCTCGCAAGTTAACGTTATCGTGATATCGATTGCTTCGTGTGTCCTTTCCGCGTGGCCGACGACTGGTTGCCGACGGGCAAACCTGGCGCTGCTGGGAGGTATTCTACAAGGAAGCAAACGCCGGCGCACCGTGGATGATTGAACCTTAATTTCATTTTTTTTTTTTCGTTTCCGTGAATTTGAATCCAAGTCTCTTCATCAGGTGTAGGAGCCTAACCTGAGGAGATTTCCGAGTCTGTGCCAGTCATTCGGATACTCGACTGCGACAGATGCGCATGCTTGCTCATCGGCTTTTTCTAAACTTGGATCTAGACTGCCCTGAACGTGTGAACGTTGGAAACGTCTCGGAGCTCGGACTCCACGAGTTTTACGATAAAATGAAGGGAATGTCGCGGGAATCGGGCTCTCATCTGACAGGTGACAACAGACTTAGAGTAATTCGCACACGACGGATCTCGGAAAAGCTAGACTCATCACATGCTACTGACTACGACTAAGGCACACCGTGTCCCAAAGTGAGCCACTCACATGCCCTTAGTCCGGCCCAGTGGCGGACAACGCCACGCTAATGGATTGTTGCGTCACACGACGGAAATAACACCTATGAATCTGGGAAGAGCGCCTTTACAGATTATGTTGAGAACATGGGATGATGATTGGGATCCACTGGCCTTGATGCCTGTCGTTGCGCTAAACTCAATGCTGAGTCCTCCGGAGTAATCAGAATGAGCCGGATGATCTTAAATTCTATACGCCCAACATGTTAAACTAATCGGCTTCGACCTGTTCACTGTACCACGTTATCACTATCAGCGGCAGGTGGCACTCGAGTACGTCGCTGCCGAATTATTGCGCCTCTCGTGACGTGTTTTCCTCTTGTACCACCCTCTGCCAGTGACCGTGCGCATCTCTAGTCCGTGCTGACCGCCGAACTACGCATCGTACGTGGTACGCTAGAAAGCGCCACGCAGCAGGCCATATTACGTTTGATCATACACAGGCAGGTGACCATAGGGTCGTGAATGATTCTTTTCGGTCAGCGAGCAATGAGCAGTGATGCATGATCTAAGCATCCAATGCCAGTGCTCTCCTGGTTCTTGCATCCGGCTTCCCACCCACCCACACCCTTCAAGCCCGCCCGTCCCGCCCTGGCCCGTGCGTCGCGCCTCCAGCGTGCATGTATGATTTGACACTATTTGATTGTACTGCCAATGCCACGTCCGCGTCCGCTGCCTGCGCTTCTCGCTCCGCCTGCACCTGCTGCCCCCCGCGCTCCGCTCGTACCCCACGGACCCGCGCCTGCTCGCTTCTCCCGTACTCGCGAATAAGGACAGATAGCCTGTGATTGAGCAACGATTGGCAAAACAATTCGCCCAATCGGCATCTGAATAGACATGCACCTGCGCCCCCGCTCAGATCACACATACACCCGCTGCCCGTGGCCACGTCGCCGCTCCACTCGCGCCCCGCCACACCCGCCGCCGCGCGGCCTACCTACTAGTATCAGGCCTTGGGATATATAGGGCCCCCGTCGCAGGGACTTGATCCGTGGGGTGCGCTTCCCCAGGCCCCCGGTAAGTACACGGACCTGATTTGGATTAGTTTGGACCTGATCCAGCCTGATACATGCGTAATATGGGAGACTCGGTCTCATTTGGGGGTGACGCGATGTAGAAACTCGCACGCAAGGTACGCCTTGCACAAAGCAACATTATTTGTGTCTTATCTTAACTCATACCTTACATTTGTATTAATTCAATAAATGCTAAGTCATTCTCAGGCTATTGTGGCATATGAAGCATATTATATGCATCGTTAATTGCCCCTTGTGTTATATACAGTGAGAATACTGCACGTGTCGATGCCCATGGACCAGTTGGTTAAGGCGCACGACTGTTATGAAGTAGGCGCGCGAGCCGATCTCCGAGTCCGGCAAATGCACAAGTCAAACCTCAATATTACTTGTCTTAACTTAACCCTTACATTTAATTGGCTGAACCTTTAGGTTTAGCTACTGTAACTTTCTTTAGCACTTCGAGTTAGTGCATCAAAACTGATGGGAATGTCACGAAAAATGAATTGAATCACGTTGTCGTGGAACTTTTGGTGACGAGTGACTGTCCGGCGGTATCCGTTCACGTGCGACATTGACATTGGATTTTCTGAAAGCTCACGTGAAAAAGTCACGTCAGTCGAAGACACGCCTCATAATAAAGGTATAAATGTTCAGCCCCCCGCCTCGCAGAGGCCCAATCCAACGTCATTTAATAAAATATGAGCTAAGGAACAAAATGTGCAACAAAGGCCATTGTGACATGTCACAACATATTCATTTTTAAGCTTGCAATGTTACATAGTTGTTACACGTCAAGTGCATTCTGGTGCTATATACGTTCAGTATGCAGCACGTGTCAATGCCCCATGGCCCAGTTGGTTAAGGCGCACGACTGTTACATAATCAGTGATTATCGTGAGATCGAGAGTTCAAACCTCTCTGGGGCAGTTCTTTTTATTCTTTTTATTCTTGTGGGCAGTTATTTTTTACTTCGTTCTCGCAGACAGCTTTTGTTTTCTGTGACAGTTAAAAATATTTCGCCATCCCGTGGCTCGCGGTCGTGCACACACTTTGACCATGGGCAATTGTGTGGAAAAAAAGGCATGTAAAGTGACAAATGCGGCTGTATCTTTCCACAAAGATAAGAGGGCTACCAAAGACAGTACCAAGGCAGGACCCCCAGGATGGGGTTACAGATTCGGGTGATTTTGCAATCTTGGTCGAATGCAGTTACAAATGCGGGCAGTTGAGTTCGGGATGCAGTTACAGATTCGGGTGAGTTACGTTCGAGGCCTGGCCTATCTCAGCTCCTGTGGTGCAGATTGAAATGTAATTTCCCTTGCTGTCTTTGGTATCCGACCGCCGTTCGAGACGGTTCGAGCCTCACGAGTGCGGATCTCCTTTGTTTTTTTCATGTAAACTGCTTCCGTGAATTAGGGCGACGATACAATTGCCTTCCTACATATTCCGTCCACCTACTTTCTTCGCATCCCGCCGAGCTCAAGACTGGACCTGCAGGCATTCATTACCAGCTACATGATACATCCACCAGACTGGAAGGTCTTTATGATGTTCCGGCAATACCAAACCAGCTCAAATGGTGAAGCCTCCTTTAAACCGAGCTCGAGGGGTGTTTCATTTTCTTCCAATAGTAAGTTGCCTGTTTTTCGGTTATAACCCCAAATTTGTTATGTCATTAGGGGAGTTCACGACGGGCAGATTAACTAAACCTCTTTTTGTGAAGAAATTGATCTTTTGATGGGACCATTATTTTCACAAAACAAATTTTACAAAGCTGAATAAACGGGTTTTGCGATTTTCGTCGCGTATCGATCACCACATAAGCAATGAATGGAAAAGGTGTGCATCACATGTGTCGTCCCTGTCCACTTCAAATGGGTCACCGGCCGAAAGTCATGTCCGTGAAGTACCGGTTGAGGACCTCAAAGGCTGTATCGTTGCCCTTAAGGAAGACAGCCATGCCAATGGCGGTGATGATGGATCGCCAAGCAATGTAAATAATGTCTTGTGTGTTTGCGGGGTGATCACGGTGTTATTCCACAAAAGTACATTTTATTCGTCCCATCAAAAGATTGTTTCATTCACAAAAGACCATTCAATCGGCCCGTCGTGAACTCCCCCATTGAATGATAATAAGACATGTTGTTCCGGATTTTAAACTGCGCTTGGATTATACGGTTCCAGAACTCGGACTCCCCCCCCCGGATGCAGATGTCCTGATTTCCTGTTATAACCCGAAGGTTAAACTGCCACCTCTTAGAGGCCACATAAGTGTTTCGTAAAATTCGAGGATGTGACGACGTATATTACTACCGTATTCAGGTCAAATCAGCGGGACTGGGAAAGATCTTTTCTCGTCGTTATTCCCATGGGTGACCGTGTCGTGGCTGATGCATAAAAATCACCGACGGCGCGGAATTGGCTTCCCACATGCTTTATGTTTCTGATAATTCAAGTAATATTGGTGTGGTGCTGATTACCAGTGTACTTAACACCCTCGATCGGTTTATCTACAACGACGTCTCGAATATCTGGTAATGTTCAGGCGGGAGGTTGAGTGATAGTGTCCCATATGATATTGTATGCATACATGCTTGATGTTTTTAATCATCGCAACGGGACACTTGGACTGGACGCTTTCAGCCACCATTGACCAAGGTGTTGCTTTCGAACACTAAGTTACTTAGGCTTGGCCAATACTGCCGAGATATGTGCGACACGTGGACATGATCAACATGAACCCTCTGCGCACAGGACTCTTCACAGTTTAATCGACATTACAGGCCTGGGCCGTGTCACGATGGATCCGGAGGTCCAACTTACTTGACCCGGTCCGCCCGCGGTCGGCGCCTTGATGCAGCGTTAAGGGCACAGACGCAGCAATATCCTCTACTCTGTTTACAGAGAACGGTACGAAAGTTACTTTCTCTCCCGATTCCACTGAAGTTCCTGACACTGGCATGTGATGTCTACGCTCCCACATATTACTTCACCCAACTGATCTGTGTTCCATCTGAGTGAACCAACCACAGAATCTGCATGACCAATTATGCCATTTTCTCAGAGTGGTTGCATGATAGCGAGTAAGGGACCGGCGCTTGCCGCCGCTACTGATTAATAAGGCACCAGTGAGGATGCGATTAAACCGCGCCGTTCCTCAAGGCTGTGGCTCCAAAGCATGCCCTTTTGCACGGCTGATCCGCCCACCTCCTCCGCCCTCGCCGGGACCCATCACAATCCCGCGGGAACCCGTTTCACTGGGCCATGGTCTGCCATGGTCGTCGACTCGTTACCCGAGTTTGCCACCCAAAATTTACACACGGGCGTCGGGTCCCCGAATTTACCCGAATTTCGGACACCGCTCAAAAAATAGTAAAAATGTTTTTAGTTGTTCTACGGCGTGCAGCGACAATTAACTACGTTTATTGTAAAGCCGAATGGCCTCCTTGAACCCTGCAGAATGCCTGCGACAAGTGATGGAGCGCTTCCAATCTTCTCGTTCCAGAAACGCGCTCAGGGGTCCCCGTCATCGCGAAATTTGTGTGGCGACTCGCGCGTACCGCGGCGGTGATGGTCGCGCGGCCATCACCCCTCACTTACATCTAGGCCCTGTCTGCTCCCGGTCGGAGCATATGTGAAGCAATTTTGCTGATAATTAATGATTTATTGAAAGAAGGACAGACCAATGATGTCGAGACCGTGACATGTGCCTGATTCCCCGATTGAGAGTGGGGAAAAAAAGAATACACCCACAAAGATTTGCGATACTGGGCAAGACAATTACCACTACCCCGTAGAGCTTCACCACTTTTGTCCTCGAGGACCTCTACTTACATGCCGGTGGGCCCAGCGTGCCCTGACCTACCCGAATCCTGCCACGGCTCGGCCGGGACCTCGCACGCCTTACCAAACGGGTGTTGGGCACAAATGTGCAGGATTTCACCTGAATCTGAGACGGGTTCCCGGTCCTCCTGTACACCCACCGCTTTTCGAAAGCTGTGAGGAAAACTCAGGGCGCTCGGGCCGGGACGCCATGCGTGGGGTCGGATCACGTGAGGCGGAGATTTCAAGCTCACACTCGATGTTCCCGCGCTGATGCGTTCAAATCGGGGTATGAACAGGTGGCCCTGATAATGAGTAGGCCAAGTCCAAAATGAATTCTGCTAATTTGGCAGCTAAACTATGTGGACTACCGGCGAACGCTGTGGCAGCCGCGGCTGTGGACTGAGAGCTGTATGTTCAGCTAGCGCTGTGCTGTAATGATTGCAGGCGGTGAACGCGGTTAATCTTTCAAGTGGAGATGGACCCGCCTCTTGGCGGTAATTTGACTCAAACAATATGATCGTTGACTCACAGGCTTGGCGGCGATCCCACGGTGATTCGTACACTGACAATCATGCCATACACGCTTAGCCGCACGTGTTTCTGTTTACGGCGTTGGTGGTGGGCAAGAGTCGCCGAAGGGGAGAACACAGTAGCTTTACGTGTTTGAAATAAGGTTCACGGATAACACAGGCCGTTCCCCTGAAGTTACCCAAAGCTCTATTCCTGCGAACAAACACGTGACTGTTGTGAGGGAAACCGGAACCGCCAATCACGGGGTCCACCGTACACTGCGCACTGCGCCAACACTGCGCATTCTTCCCGTGGACGCAGAAGCCACCTGCCAGCGATGATGCGATCTGCCAAATAACCTCCGTGACGAGCCGTGACGCCGACGTCGCCATGCCATCGCCAACTGGAACCATCTCATTAATCTCGCGAGCGCGCATCATTCAATCAAAATTATTGACAGGTGTCACCCCCGGTTGCGCCCAATTTGCGCGGCACAGCAACTCAGGGCGGCGTGTGCCGATCCTGCGGTGTTTTATATAAGCCCCAATTCGATATCCACGCCAAAGGCACTCCCGACTCTGCGCTCCGATGCAGCAGCCATTCTCTTCGCAGACCTGGTGGGATCTCGGTGCGCTACCTTCATCCAACTGGATCCGTTAACGTTTCTTTGTCTCATGGCATATGCACACGCAGATAGCACCGCGCCTCCGCACCCCATCGCCACATACACCCCCGCCCCCAATCCGCACTTCAGCCTCGTGTCCGCCCCCGGAGTCGATCCGCACTACGCTTTTCCGCCGCGGCCCCTCAGCGCCCCCGCGGGGCTCATGCCGTTCTCACCCGCCTACCCGCCACCCGCGCTCGAGATCGCGGACAGCAAGACGCCAGCGTACGCAGGCTACTGGCCCAGCCCCGCGATACCGCCAAACGCCGTCGACGAGCGCCTCTGGGACGCTATGCTCGCCACGCTCGACGCCCCCGGGCCCGCGCCGTACGCGTACCCGTACTCCCCGACCCCCAGCTCCGGGTTATCGCTCTACAGCGCCAGCCGCAGCCTGAGCGCGAGCTCCTCGCGGCGGAGCAGCGTCGCCCCCTGCTCCCCGGCGCCCGCGTCCGCGTCCTCGTCCTCGCCGTACCCCTCCCCGGCCTCGTTCTACGCCCCGCTCCCGTCGCCCGACTTTCCCGGTGTCGGTGTCCCCAACTTCACCTTCCCCGCCTTCCCGCTCCCGCCTCCGCCCCCGCCCTCTGCATCCCCGCCCCCGGCGCCAAAACGGCGCGCCGCGAAATCGCCCGCAACCGCAGACGCAAAAACCCGCCCCACCTCAAAGGCCTGCGCGCACTGCGGCGCGACCGCGACGCCCCTCTGGCGGCGCCACCCCGCGACGCGCCGCCCGCTGTGCAACGCGTGCGGGCTCTACCTCGCGCAGCGCGGCGCGCCCCGCCCCGACGTGCTCATCGCCGCCGACGCGCCCGACGACGAGGACGCGGAGGAGCGCAGATACCCCCCACCGGCGGCGGGGGCAGAGGCGGGGACGGGGGCAGAGGCGGCGGTAGAGGCGCGCTGCGCGCACTGCGGCACGCACCGCACGAGC